GAGAAAAATGGGAGACAAAGTTTTAAATGAGTCCTACCCGATCCACTGATCTGGAATCCCAAATGGCACTCTGAGAACTGGCTGCAAGCCAGGAGCCGTGAAGCCAGGAGGCGAGCGACAGAGCCAGAGACCCCAAGGCCCAAGTGTCTGGTTTTTATACCAACCCTGGCTGCTTAACTCCACCCTCAGGTCCCAACCACCTTCCCTTTGGTGGTAACGGGATTTGTCTTTCCCAATGTCCTGATGGCTTTGGTCTGGAGTGGGGGCGGGGTCCACAAAGCCTGTATGGGATTAGCGCAGGACATCCTTTCCCCCTAACAATTTTGCGTAACTACTACCATTCTTTTTTGACAACTGTTGAAACAATTTTTTCCTCTTTAATATGTCTTTTTCCCATTAATGTTTAAAAATTTCAATATAATAAAAATCACATAATGTAAAAGTTTCCATTTGACTATTTTTAAGTTTGCAGTTTAGTAGGGTTAAGTATATTCACATTATGTTTAACAGGTAAGTAGAATTTTCATCTTGCAAAACTGTAACTTGAACACACTCTTCATTTCCCATTCCCTGCATACCTTGGTACCTACCACCCTACTAAAATTTAGATACCACATATGAGTGGAATTATACAGTATTCGTATTTTTGTGGCTGACTTATTTCACTTAATACAATGTTCGTGAGGTTCATCCATGATGTATTGTGTGATAGAATTTCCTTCTTTTTTTTATAGAGGCATGTTTTTATTTATTTATTTATTTGTTTGTTTATACATGCACTGGGTACAGTCAGAAGCACAGGAGGGTGAGAGATTTCACCAGAGCCAGAGCAGGGAGCAGAGCAGGCAGAAGGACTGAAGTACACTGCTGAGGGGAGCAGCGGGCAGCAGGAGAGGTCTTTGCGCCATGCTGGGCCCTCCTCCGGTGGCCGGGGATCGAACCGGCGCCGCAGAGGCCGCGGGTAGCTTCAGCGCTCAACCGCTGCGCCACCGGGGAGGCCCGAATTTCCTTCTTTTTTAAGGATAAATAACATTCCTGTGTGTGTGTGTATGACTTTTTTTTGTTGTTGTTGTTGCTATTGTATTTGCTGGAAGTTTTTTTATTTGCTATTGTTAATAATGCCATAGTGAACCAATATCTTTTTGAATTCTTTTGGATATACACCTACAAGTAGGATTTCTTCATCACAGGTTAATTCTAAATTTAATTTCTTAGGAATTCCCAATCTATTTTCAACAATTGACTGGAACTACCTACATTTCCCAAGGTGCACAAGAGTTTTAGTTTTTTGGAATTTGTTGTTTACTTTTTTTTTGGACACTGGCACTCTGGATGGGTTTGAGGTGATATCTTGAGGTTTTGATTTTTATCTCTGTAATGATTAGTGACACTAGTGATGATGAACAGCTTTTCCTTTGCTTGCTGACCATACTTTCTTTGGAAAAATGTCTGTTTGACATGCCATCTTACTCTCAATGTATTTTTTTTTTTAAAGATTTATTTATTTATTTATACAAGCACTGGGTACAGTCAGAGGCGCAGGAGGGTGAGAGAATTCATCAGAGCCAGAGCAGAGAGTAGAACAGGCAGAGTGACGAAGTGCACTGCTGGGGGAGCAGTGGGCGGCAGGAGAGGTCTGCGCTCCATGTGGGACCCTCGCCCGGCGGCCGGGATCAAACCGGCGCTGCAGAGGCTGCGGGCAGCTTCGCAAACCAGCGCTCAACCGCTGAGCCACCGGGGAGGCCCTCAATGTATTTTTTTAACCACTATTTAATTCCTAAAATTATATTACTTGGATATAATGGATTATTTCAATGTGTTGTCAAATTCTGTTTATTCTTTGTTTTTGTTGATTTATGGCCTTGTGCTTATAAGAGAGTGGCCTTTAGTTTTGGTTTTAGAATTTTTTCATCATCGGTTTACATTTATTTTTAAAGATAATCTTACAGAAATGAGCTAAGAAGCACTTCATTCACTTAACCTCAAATAGTTTGGTTAACCTTGAATTTTGCTTTTGGAAAGAGCAAGTTTATCATTTAAAAGAAAAATATGAATATCTAAACATAACCCATCCAAAAAATGTCTAGTCACAGATTGCATTAAGATCCCAAACTGCAATCATATGTTGTTTACTAGAGAGACATAAAGCAAAGGCGGTAGCCTGTCTATAGTTGCTGGAGAATGGGAGAAGAACATAGGTTGAGTTCTTAGAGAAAAAAGAAATAAACAGGATTGGTAATGCCAAAGTGATTTTAAAACAAAAACTTTAGTAAACAGCAAAAAAGTTCCATGGTAAAAGGTATACCAATAAAATATATTTGCCGAGTATTAGAACCAAAAACAAACAAACAAAAAATTATAAGAAATCCAAGGAGAAATGAGAAAATGTATTGAAAGAGTGTAAATTGTTTGTGATCAGTTCTGAGGCAAGATTGTGTGAACCAAAAAGCCAACAAATGGAAAGGTAGAACAGACAGGAACAGTCCCAAATCCATGAAGTTACACCTTCTGTTCAAGTGGGAACCAATCTCATACCTTTTCACTTGGAAGGGATTAGTTCATTATTTCATCATTGGGTATTGATCCAATTAGAGGGATACAGTGGCCTCTTCCCACCCCCAATTATCTTGTTCTCAAAAGTAAATCTGTGACTATCATGTTTTAGTAAAACTAGAAAATTAAGTTGAGTTTAAACCAGTATTTTACAGCTACCTGTATTCTTTTGTTCATGCTCTCTTGGATTTGAATTCCCCAAAATGTTCTGATTTCTAAAAATACTTATACCTAATAATAAGTTTACTTGTACAGCATATCCCTTTGCGTGCCTACCTGAAAATCAGTAGCTTAGTCCTTCATGAAGTATAAACCAAAGTAAAACAAAATATGAGTTGTGATTTTTTTTTTTTTTTAAGATTTATTTATTTATTTATACAAGCACTGGGTACAGTCAGAAGCACGGGAGGGTGAGAGAATTCACCAGAGCCAGAGCGGGGAACAGAGTAGGCAGACTGACGAAATACACTGCTGAGGGGAGCAGCGGGCGCGGCAGGAGAGGTCTGTCGCGCCATGTGGAACCCTTGCCCGGCGGCTGGGGATTGAACCGGCGCTGTAGAGGCTGTGCCAGCTTCGCAACCCAGCGCTCAACCGCTGCACCACCGGGGAGGCCTGTGATTCTTTTATATAAGAAAATATATTTCATTTCAGAGTACAGCAGTTCTTCAAATAATGTTATTTTGTTCAGGGTTATTTCGTTATAGTGTTGATAAGAGAAAAAAATTGATTTCTGGTCAGGGTGACTGTCATTGTGAAATTTGCATGTTCTTCCCATATCTGCATGGGTTTTCTCTGGGTAATCTGGTTTTCTCCCACATCCTAAAGATGTTCATGTGAAGTTTACTAGAGTGTCTTAGTAAAGTTGTCCCAGTGGTTATGGCGGGGTGCGTGTATGTGAGAGTAGGCCCTGTGGGCCCTGCAATGGAAGAATGTCCATAGTTAGATCCCACATTGCATCCTGAGTGGCCAAGATAGGCTCTAGTCACCTGCAACCCTGAGCTGGAATAAGTGGGTTGAAGAACAAATTAATACAAATGTTAATTTAATATTAGAAGTGTTTTGGGATCTTTATTTGGTAGAAGTTTGGTAATGTGTTTGTGACCAGAAATATGCTGTAGCAACTTAACTCTTGTTTATTATCAATTAGCCTATGGTAAAATTGGTTTCATTATACATCATTTCACTTAGTTTCAGTTTCTGAGAACCTGTTGATGATGGTAAGTAAGGACTTACTGTGTTGGGTGCACTATGTGCCATGTATTAATAGTGGCTTAGGAGAATAGAAGTTAAACAAGGTCCCTGCCATAGCACAGTTTGTAATAGAGTCAGACAAATTAAGGTTGTAACTCTCAGAACAAATAGGCTGATACATATCATTAAACTTATTTTTCTGTTTTATGTTTCTAGCACTTTCCCTAAGGAGATGAGAAATAATATCTTATTGCCTGTCAGTATTGTTTCATTTGTTTGGTCAATGGACCAGATATTTATCAATATTAACTTTGGTATTTATTAATATTAAGAGCTCATAGAAAAGATTCATTTAATATTGATGATAAAGGTAGTAATATTCAAGATTCAGATTCATCATAAAATTGAAAATATAATTATTACTGGTTCTGCTTGGAATTCTATTTAAAATTGAACCCTGTAGGCAACTGGGAAGAACTGGGTCCTATTTCAGATTTTAGAGACTTTATAGATTTTATTTCTAAGACTACCCAAACATTTGGGTTAAATTTCTTGAAATAGAGTCATGACATTTTGCTAGTGAGACAGAATTGTCTCTTTGTCTGCCTATTTGAGACAAAGGCATTCTCTTGGGTCCATCATTGTTAGGGATGAAAATATGGTTGATGGCAATTTGAATATTTCTGCTGAGTGAGAGGAATCTAATACAACAGTAGGACATTTTTTGGAGACAGAAATCATTTTTCACCAGAATGCAGTTGCTGTTAAAAACAATGGGAAAATATGATGGGGGGGGGCAGTGTATGTGTGTGTGTGAGAGAGAGAGAGAGAGAGAGAGAGAGAGAGAACACTGTGTAGCTTCTCATGTCGTTGAGTCAGAATAGATCTGTTACAAATCAGGATTTTGCGTGTGCTGGCAATTCGGCTTAACTATTCTTTCCTATAAACTTATATTCAAAAGGTGATCAGTTTCCTCATGTAAAGATAAACCCATGTCCCCGGGTTTCTGAAAATGGGCATCTTGGTTACTAAAGCCATGATTTCCGTTAAGTTTGAGAATCAGTATGTGCTTCATTGTGCCAGCTCTGGTCACCCTCTAGCTTGAGGGTTTTTTTGTGAATAATATACATGATGCCTTGAAGTATTTACTCAGAATACTAAATATTAATACTTTACCAACTTGAATTGTTTGTCACAAAGTAGTTTAAGAACTGTTTTTAAATGCCATCTCTCCCCTCTCCTGTTTTTCTTTTTAGCTCTGCTTATGATAATGTCAACAAAGTTCGGGTAGCTATCAAGAAAATCAGTCCTTTTGAGCACCAGACCTACTGCCAGAGAACGCTGAGGGAGATAAAAATCTTACTGCGCTTCAGACATGAGAATATCATTGGAATTAATGATATTATTCGAGCACCCACCATCGAGCAAATGAAAGATGTGTATCCTTTTCAAGCAGATAGCTGACTCTACTTCTTGTTTACCTTGTTAAATAAATGTAATCTGAAATTTCCTGGACTCACCAGAGTGAAAGAAAAGTATATAAAGCACATTTAAGGGGAAATTGTAATCTGATTGCTGTTTGTTATACTTGCATCATTTACATTTTCTCTGATTCACTTTACCAGTTGTCAGTAATTTTTATTGTCTTTTTGGCAAATCCAGTGTTTTCTCTGTCAGATTCAGAAAAGTTTCCTGTAAGTGTAGTTAGAGAAAACCTTGGTACAACACTTTCAGTCATGTTTTTTTCCATTCAAGGTATGGTTCGTTATGGGAAATGGAGAGGGAAAGAACAGTAGACTGAGAAAGAGGATGTCCTGGATATCACCCGCTCAAATCACAACTATGTCCTGTCCTTACACAATGTCATTTGACCTTTAGTTCTCAGTTTTCTCATCTTTAAAATAAAAGTAGTAGGGCCTCCCTGGTAGCCTAGGGGATAAGTCTTTGTGCTATCACTGCCGCTACGGCCTGAGTTCAATCCCTGGCTAGGGAGCTAACCCACATAAATAAATAAAGGTGATAGCCCTGATAATCTTTAAGACTGATTGGGCTCTGAAATTAACTATAACCAATCTTGAGAAATAGGGACTAAACAGATCCAGAGGATAAATTCTGAGTTAACACTACAACTGAAAAATAGAGGCATTATGTATACTGGAAGAAGATTTGTCAAAATAAAATTTTGGCTGATACAGCATTCCTACCAGTTTCCCTAATTTGCATTTTGCCCCTCTAGGAGAAGGCAGCTCACTGTCTCTAAGCAGCCCTTTCCATTTTTAAACAGCTCTGTTACTAAGTAATACTGGTATTTTAAAATGAAATGCCTCCTGCCAGCTGACACCAGTTGGGCCAGCTTTACATTTTGCCATTAAAAAAAAAAGTCTCAGTTGACAAGTTTTCAAGTCATGTTTCCTTTTAATTCCATAGTGTGCATGAATCTGTAGGAGTCATAAAATAATATTTACAAGAAATAAAATAAATGCAAAAGTGTACTGCTAATAAAATATGGTAGAGTTAAAAAAAAAACTAAAAATTAGATCCAAAAATAGGCAAGAAAGCAAGAGGAGCAAAACTTGGCACAACCCCCTTCTTAGAACAACTTCCCCCCTACTCTTAACATTTTTAGGATCTTAACATTAACTGAAGAGTCAAGCAAATAAATTGACTGAAGGTTGAATTTAGCAGCAATCTGTTCTAGACCTGTATTTCCAAATGTTTTACAGTTGATATTTGAAGGAAGGAGGGGGACAAAACGAGCGATAAAAGAACAGTGATATTACAAGTTGTTGTCCAGCCAAATGGAGGAGATAAATGATGCTTGCTGGCCACTGCCCTCTTTCTGCCTTTTCCAGCTAGACTTCCAGTGGCTTGCTGATAGTGAACTGTGGAGAACGAGGAGGTTGATACTTCAAGATTGACCAGTACTTCTGTAACAACTGGTTTCAGGTCTAAGTCTAGATCCTTAATCAGTCAAAGGTATAATACCTTGTCTCATGGAACCTAAAAAAATAGTTAACTACTTCAGATTGCTTCCATAAAATATACCAAGATTTCACCAGCTTCTCATTTCCCTCCATGATATAATAAATGGATCATTTGGGGAGAAGATTCGTTTTGTTTGCAGTGCATTGCTAAGTCTGACTATTTGGTGTGTTACCTTAACCTGTTTAAACAGATATATAGTACAGGACCTCATGGAAACAGATCTCTACAAACTCTTGAAGACACAACACCTCAGCAATGACCATATCTGCTATTTTCTTTATCAGATCCTCAGAGGGTTAAAATATATCCATTCAGCTAATGTACTGCACCGTGACCTCAAACCATCCAACTTGCTGCTCAACACCACCTGTGATCTCAAGGTCAGCCAGGTTATTGATTCTTAGGGTCATATAAATTGGAAAAAAAACTTTTGCTGGGAACCTAATGCTATTCATGTTTAAAATAACACCAGAAATACATGAAAACATTTTTATGGGAAAAAAATAGATGTAAGTAAAGAGTGCTGGTTCCCTTTTTCTTCTCTATCTCATGGCTTCTACCCCTCTGGCGGTAACGGCTGTAATAATAAATCGGTGTGTTTTCTGGGTTTTTTTCTGTGCTCTTACATACATATATACTCTTCTACTATATATGTGATTGTGTGTGTGTGTTATGTGTAAGTTAAATGATTTTTTTTTTAAAGATTTATTTATTTATACAAGCACTGGGTACAGTCAGAAGCACAGGAGGGTGAGAGAATTCACCAGAGCCAGAGCGGAGAACAGAGCAGGCAGACTGACAAAGTACACTGCTGAGGGGAGCAGCAGGCAGCAGGAGAGGTCTGCGTGCCATGTGGGACCCTCATCCGGGCTGGGGATTGAACCAGCGCTGCAGAGGCTGCGGGCAGCCTCACAACCCAGTGTTCAAATGCTGTGCCACTGGGGAGGCACATCTTTTTTTTTTTTTTTTTTTTTTTTTAAGATTTATTTATTTATACAAGCACTGGGTACAGTCAGAAGTGCGGGAGGGTGAGAGAATTCACCAGAGCCAGAGCGGGGAACAGAGCAGGCAGAAGGACCGAAGTACACTGCTGAGGGGAGAGGTCTGGAGAAACCTCCTCCAGCGGGTCGCAGGAGAGATCTGCGCCATGTGGGACCCTCCTCCGGAGCAGCCGGGAATCGAACCAGTGCTGCAGAGGCTGCAGGCAGCTTCGCAACCCAGCACTCAACCACTGCGCCACCAGGGAGGCCCAGGCCCATTTTTTTTTTTTTTTTTTTTTTTAAGATCATCTATTTGGTGACCTTTTTCTTCAATTAAGTTTATACAAAGGATACTCAGAAAATTTAACTTTAAATAATTTAAGTAAGGCATTCCCCCAAAATAGTGAAACTCTAAGTCCTTGACAGTCCTCACAGTAACAGGTAAATAAGAGGGATGTCGATATATGTCTTAGATGTGCTGCAGGTATGTAGATTTAATCTTATAAAAATGCATGTGAATTCAAGAAGACCTGTACAAATGGAAAGACATTATGTGTTCATGGATTAGAAGACTTAAGATGGACATTGGTTCCTAAATTGATCTGTAGGTTCAGTGCAATCCCTGTTAAAGCCCCAGGATTGGTCCCAAAGAACATGGGGAGATTCAGGAGACCCAGAATAATCAAAACAGTCTCAGAAAGAACAAAGTTAAAGTACTCATACTTCCTGATTTCAAAACTTTATTAGAAAACTGTAGTAATCAAAACACTGTGATATTACATAAGACTAGGAATATAGGTCAATGGGTAAAAGTGAGGATCGTTGAGTAACCCCTATATTTCCTACCAAGCAAAACTGAGGCATTGCCAGGGATTCCCAAACTTAAAGGGAAAAACTCATATTGCCTATTCTAAGGGTTCATGACCACCTGTACATAAAAGCAAGTTAATCAAATTCTAGAATGCATGGAGATTTTTAATCAGTGAGCGATTCACAGGGACTAGAGAGAAGGAGAAAAGGAGTAGGGGAAAGAAGCATTTCAAAATAAAGACTCTTGCTCAAACTTCAGAATCAAACATCCCCTTCTAGACAAATGTTCAGCCAAATAGGCAGGGCCCAGTGCCTAAGAGTGGAGCCACCAGGAAAACAAAAGCTAAGGCAATCTCCCAGCAGGAGACACAAGCAAAAGGTTGTGCAGGGCCAAAAGTTCTGGGAGAAGTAGAGAGAACCAAAGTTCAAAATGTTCCACCCAGGGCCTCCCCGGTGGCGCAGCGGTTGAGTGTGCGGCCTCTGCGGCGCCGGTTCGATCCCCGGCTGCTCCCCGGCCACTGGAGGAGGGTCCCACATGGCGCGCAGACCTCTCCTGCCGCCCGCTGTTTCCCTCAGCAGTGTACTTCGGTCCTTCTGCCTGCTCTGCTCCCCGCTCTGGCTCTGGTGAATTCTCTCACCCTTCCGCGCTTCTGACTGTACCCAGTGCATGTATAAACAAAACAAACAAACCAGCAAACAAATAAATAAAAGCATGCCTCTATAAAAAAAAAAAAAATGTTCCACCCAATCTGAATCCACCATGAGGTTAGGATGGCAACCAACATCTCTCAGAATGGGATTGTGCTTCCTGCCAAAGTCTGAGCAGGAGCAAGAGTACCCCCACCCCAAGCCAAGCCTAAGTAGAAATGGAAGACCAACATCACAATAAAGGTTCTTAAGAGGTGAAGAGTCCCTATCACACCCACTGGCTCTGTCATTTAAAAGTCTGCCCCATGCTACCACCCCCTTCAGGAAGTCAGGGGAGTAAAGCTCTGACGTTCAATACTCTCCTCCAGTTGCCCCCAGTTGTCTTCATTCAGGAAGTCAAGGAGGGTAGGGGGCCTCCCTGGTGGTGCAGGGGGTTAAGAAGCAGCGCTGTGAAGCTGTCCGCAGCCACTGCTACACGAGTTCAATCCCTAGCCAGGGAGGCAACCCACATGGTGCAGCAGACGCCTCCTGTCTCAACTGCTGCTCCTCTCAGTAGTGTATTTCAGTAAATCTACCTGTTCTGCTCCCCACTCTGTCTCTGGTGAATCTTCTCAGCCCCCGCCTCTCTGGCCTGCACCCCAGCTCTTGTATGCATAAATAAATAATTCTTTTTAAAAAAAAAGCAGGGGGGAGGGGGCCTCCCTGGTGGCTCAGGCGGTTGAGCACAGGGCAGCACTGTGAAGCTGTCTACGGCCTCTACAGTGCTGGTTCGATCCCTGCTGGCCTCGGAGCAACCCACATGGCGAGCAGACCTCTCCTGTCTCACCCACTGCTCCCCTCAGCAGTGTATTTCTTCAGTCTGCCTGTTCTGTTTCCCACTTTGTCTCTGTTGAATTCTCTCACCCTCCCGTGAATCTGGCCTGTACCCTGGTTCTTGTATAAATAAATCTTTAAAAAAAAAAAAAAAGGAAGTCAAGGGGTGAAGTGACAAGAGTCAGGGCTCTCATGTTTATGATCAACCAGTTTTCAGTAAGAGTACAAAGAGAATTCATTGGGGAAGGGAAAGAATAGTCTTTTCAACAAAATATGTTGGGACAATTGAATAGCCACATACAGAAGAATGAGCTTTGTTGGTTTATAACCTCTAGAATTCCAGAGTGAAATTCTAAACTGGTCTTCTTACAGGAGGGCATGAAGAGACTGACAAAAAGGCAGACCACTTCAGGTTGATAGGTGGAAGTTTTAATAAGCAAGGCAGCTTATATATGAGCAGAGTGGGTAAGGAGACTCAGTTTGTTAGAGTGCAGAATGAGGGCTACTCTGGGACCCCCAAACCTGTACTGCCATCTGCCAGATAAAGACAAAACATTCTTTAAGAGAACACCCGAAGTTACCCATCTCCTTGTGGGTATATGCCCAAACAGGATTGACCCAGAGTGGAGTTGCTGAGCCCTGAAAACTTGCCACAAGTCTGAGGCACCTCCTGGCAGGAACCACAGGAAAGGGTCAAAAGGTGCTAGACAAATTTGAGACAAAAGGAGCAAAATCAGAGTACAAATCAAGGTAATGGCTGCCATTGTCAGCCTCCCACAGTTCTCTCACCCATGTCTCTCCCTGGTCTCTCCATGTCTCATTGCTACATATCTCCTTCCATGTCCCTGATGTAAGTCCAAAGCTGAGAGACAAACGTGCCCTTCTTATATGTGTCTGCCACCTCCAAGTCTCTTCCAAGTCTTCTTCCCGGAGCTGTGCTCCACCCTTCATTAGATAGGGCAGGGAACATGGAACCTGTCCTTTCTCTGTAACAAATTGCCCAAGTCCAGCTCACTGGTCAACCAGCAGTCACATCCTCTTGTTGGCCTCTTTCAACAAGATTGGTTCCCTACCTCACACAGTGTACAAAAATTAACTCAAAATAGATCAAAGAACTAGAGAGCGAAAATCTGCCATCCCAAGATGTGTTTTCAGCAAGAAGATTATTTCATGGGGTGGGCTCTGAAGGCTGCATGGCAAGTTGCTTTTTATATTTATCTGTAAACTCTATAAGAGCATCTCCCAAAAAACCTTAATCTCCTTACCTTTTTCCCTTGGAGAAGACAGAACTTAAATCTTCATTTCTTTGTTTTCCCACTTTAGCCCCTATGCTTAGTCTCCCTTACTTTTGCTAAGTTATTTAAGATGGTATTTAAAGCCACGTGGACAGTTAGTTACTCAGCCATCCTTGGCCTCTCCCATATATAAAAAGGAGGTATACATGTTACTAAATTTCTATAAGACTTTTTCTCCTGCCAAAAGAAGAAAATAATAGTAGTAGTAAATCTTTGCAATCTTGTGTTAGGCAAAGTGTCTTAGACATGATATCAAAGGCACAAAAGCAAAAAAAAAAAAAAAATGGATTTCATTAGGATTAGAAATTTGTGCCACAAAGTAAATCAAGATAGTGGAAAGAGAACCCAAGAATGAAAGAAAATATTTGTAAATTGTTTCTCTTATATGAGTAATGTCTAGGATATATGAAAAACTCTTATAACTCAATAATTAAAAAATAAATGCAAAATTTAAAAATATGTAAAGAATCTACAAAGACATCTCTCTAAAAAATATATAGCCAGAAAATACATGAGCGATACCTAGAATCATTACTTAGTAGGGAACTGCAAATCAAAACCACAATGAGAATGATTATAATCAAAAAGTAAAATAAGGGCCTCCCTGGTGGCACAGGCGGTTGAACGCCTCACTATGTGAAGCTGTCCGCAGCCTCTGCAGCGCGGGTTCGATCCTGACCGGCCAGCGAGAATCCCACATGGTGAAGCAGACCTCTCCTGTCTTGCCCACTGCTCCCCTCAGCAGTGTATTTCATCAGTCTGCCTGTTCTGTTCCCCGCTCTGTCTGTGGTGAATTCTCTCACCCTCCTGCACATCTGGCCTGTACCCCAGATC